AACCAATTCACTAAAATTTTAGGAATGCATTTGTACAAAACATTGCACAAAGCAATAGGGCGCAATTGCTTCACTGACTTCGATCTTTCTACCTTTGGAATAAGTGTCAACAGAGTATTATTAACAGACTCCATCTCAACAGTCCCTTCCATAAGCTTACGAACCATATCACAAACCTCATCACCGACTAAATCCCAATCATATTGATAGAAAGCCGTTGGAAAACCATCACTACCAGGAGCTTTCAACGCTCCAATGGAAAACATTGCCTGCCTAATCTCCTCCCTGGTCACCTCCTACTCCATTGCACTTTTAACATCATCATTCAAGGTTTAAAAAGTTGTAAACATTTTCAGACAACATAAATCCTCCTTATCTTCCAAGAATAACTTCCTATAAAAATCCACAACCATCTTTTTTAACTCATCTACATCCTCCACCCAACTACCCTCCTCATTCATGAGCATCTTAATATGATTAGCTCTATGTCTCATCATAGTTTTTAGATGGTAATAGTGAGTGTTCCTATCACCATCATTGATCCACCTTAACTAGAGAGCTTCCTCCTGCTTCAACACATCTTTCAATTCTTGTTGCAACATTCTCTCCCTTTTACACAAATAGGGGTAAGGGCATCTCATACTATCAATTTTCCTCTGCACTCTACTTATTCTAGCTAATAGCCTTTGCTTTCTCACATTAATATCCTTAAAAATCTCCTTATTCTAGACCTTAAAGTGATCTTTTAACTCATACAAATTCTTATTAACATCTTCACCCTTTCTCCAATTTTGCTGCAAGAACTCACCATACTTTTCATGCAAGAGCCAAGCCGCTTCGAATTTGAAAGGCCTTTCTCTCCTAATATCAACCTGCTTATCTAGATTTAATAATAGAGGGTGGTGATCTGAAACAGCAAGACTCGGTAAAACAGTGATAGAAGCATTTTCAAACTGGCATCTCTACTCACTATTACAAAGGGCCCTATCCAGCCTTTCAAAAATACGATCATATCCAGGGATCAAAGGCCCTCTCCAAGTAAACCTATTCTTATATGATTGAACCTCTGACAAATTGCAATTGTTGATTCTATTTGAAAACAAAGAACATCTCTAATATAATGGAGCAGCACCTCCCTTCTTCTCTTCTTCACTTTGAATGTCATTGAAGTCCCCAACTACCATCCAAGGTTGCTCTATATACTCAGCAATCCTCTTTATATCCTCCTAAAACTCTCTTTTTCTACTCATTTTAGAATTGACATAAGTAAAAGTGATGCACCAAGAGACCTCATCGCCAAAAGAAATTTGGAAATGACCAAATTGTTTAGTATGTTCTAACAACATAAGTTTTACAACCTGAGATCTCCAAGCAACCCAAATCCCCCTTGCAAAACCTTCTCCTCTAATAACAAAGTGCTCATTAAATCCTAAACTTTGAAATAAAGACTTTGCCTGACCTCTATCCACTCTAGTCTCCACTAGTGCTATCATACTGCACTTATACTTATCCATCAACATCTTAGCACTTCTCTTAAAGTCTCTACTTTCAACCCTACGACAATTCCAAACTAATATATTTCTATTCATCATAACAAATTAATCGAGACTCATATTAATAGCCCTCTTGTCACTTGAAAGCTTCACATCATCTAAATGAATAACGTCATCCATTTCTTCATCAAATCCCCCCTCTATATCAAACATTAGACCCTCTTCTTCCTTATTAGGAGGTTTTTTTTAATTGGATCCCACGAAATGAAACCTACCTTATTCAGCAACATTTGATGCTCAGGCACATTAAGATCCAAAGCACTAAGTACTCCTTTATCCCTCACAATTTCATATCCATGCAGATTAACTATCTTCACATCCTCATTACAAGCTCTATTATTTCTTCTAAAGGTATCTCGAGAATCATCCTTAGGCTCAATAACAAATACAGGAGCCCTCTGACTACCTTCTGAAGTCACTAAATCCACCTTCATCCTATCAAGCTCTAAATCTTTCTTCCCCCTAGCTCTCTTAAGAGTTTCCCTATAAGATTCCTTCCTTACCCTAGCCAAAGGCACTACTACTAGAGGTATCTCTCCCTTCTCCTTTTCCTCCAACACAATACCATCCTTGCCACTATTAGACATAACCAAAGCTAAATTCTCTCCTTCTTGTGCCTCATCTTGTATCCCTTGCTCAAGAATCGTAAAATGTGATCCTAAAGGCTTCTGAATATTCCCTTTAGCCAAACCAAAATGACCCCGTCCTTCTTCCTGTCCTCCATTCCCTCTAAACCTTTTAAGTCGTTTCAGTTTTTGCATCAGATTCTAAGGCCCTAAAATATTACAACCAGTTTCAATCCTTGGCTCTTGCTCATTCCTTTGGACATCCTCATTCTCATTGACCACCCTCGCCAAGCATTCTCTATCAACATGCCCAAATTTCCCACAACAATAACAAAGCATATGCAACCCCTCATATTCAACCACATATTCAATACCATCAAAAACAATCAGAGGAAGAAGCGCTTCTAACAAGTTAACCTGTACCCCTATTCTACAAAACGTCACCTCGTAAGCAACGATGTCGACATATCAACTTTAATAGTTTTACCAGTCCGATCCCCAACATAATGCAACACTTCCTTATCACAATATTCCAACGAAAAATCCATCAATCTCACCCAAATTAACACTTAGTCAATTAAAGCCTTCATAGGATTAAAATTTGGTTCCATTTATGAATAGTAAGATAGTGGTCAAAAATCAGCCAAGGACCACCTTCTTGAGCCCATTTATAATCATCCTCATTCGTAAAGTTAACCATAAAAAAACCATTACGAAGATCAGTAATAGAAATCAAACCATGTTTCACCCACATCTTCCGTAGATTTAACTAAAGCTGGCAATAACCAATCCTCCTTCCCAACAATTTCACGAACAAACTCAAACGAAATGGCTGCTTCAATCTCTCCTTCTCCTCTTTTAACACAATGAAACTAAGAATTGACATCTTCCCTTTCAACTGCTCTTCAATATAAATCCTTAACTCCCTGCGTTTCCCAAACTCCTGCTTGCGTCAACTTGAAAACTGTTCAATTAAATCCTAAACACTCGTGAATCATTATAAAAAAGGGGAAAAAGGATAGAATGAAAAGAAACTCTCATATCTGATTACTATGCCTATTTATTGTTAACGACAACATTCACAATTTAATTATTTTAAGGATGATATTACTGTGATAAAGAATTCAGGACACTGGACGTTTTTATAAAAATAGTCCAGGAATAATAATAAACATTAATCCACAAACTTATAACTTTCTAATTATGTCCTTCTTTGCAATTAATAATCATAATAAATTGTTATTTAAAAGTTCAAAATATAATAAATAAAAATAGTAAAATTAAAAAATAATTATTTCATCTCTATCTTTTATTCTCAACTAACAAAATTAAATTTTCAAATTTTTTTTATATATTAAAGGAATGGAGGGACTATACGTGAAAGATTGAAAGGCAAGTAACTAGGAAAATTCCAACCAACCCCTTTGACTCAATATAATTTCAGTCAACTCTTTTTTTTTTGCCAAAAATTTTAGTCAACTCTCAGACTCTAAAATCTCACTACACATTAGGGAAATTAAAATGAAATTAAAAGATGAATCGAACAATCTTATTATCCTTGATGAAATTAGGCACATGAACAACTCATGTAAAAAAATGAGCAACTATTCAAGTAATATAGGTGAAATTTATAAATTTTATTAACAGGATGACATTACTATAAATTTGCAATTCTCATTCCCTCCACGTTAGTTAAATAGTTATTCATTTTTTCTAAGTGAGTTGTTTATACATGTAGCTTTATCAGGGAAAATAAGGTCATTTGAGTAAATTCTTTAATTTTAATAGGAACTGACTAAAATTATGTTAGGTCAAAAGGGGTTGACTGAACTTTTCCCTAAAGTTTCATTGCCTGTATTTTTATACACTAGTATTATCCAGTAGTAGGATTCAGGTTCAAGGTAAAATAAAAATGGGGTTCAATGTGGTGCTCACATGGTTGCGGCTTTGTGGATAAGATCAAGAAACATCAAGGAAAGAGACTAGTTCCCATTGTGTTGGGCAACTTGGATTCCTTAAGATAGTGTGCGCAGGTAAGATATAAATCCTGACTCAATAAATGATTTGTATTTTATTAAGTTCCTAATCTCGAAATCATTATTGGCCTCCCAAATTATGCATTAAAGCTTGAGGTTTGAGCTCCTATTATGTCTGAAAAATGTTGATAAATTGTTTGGTCTTTGTGTTAGAATGTGTCTAATTGTTACTTGGACAAAAAAAAAACATTTTTTATAAGTACAAACATTTTAATATCAAATGTTGGGATGTATATTTACATTTTAAGAATTGACATATTAGTCTCTGACTTTTAACTATAATTTTTTAGGGAGGATAATTTTTTGTCTTATAATCCCTTGCTATAATCATAAACAACAGTTAGGGTTAGAGCCTGCATGACGTGGAATTATACTTTTTAGTATTTGTTTTTATATATAATCAATTATATCTTGTTATATTTTGAGTACAGGGTAAATAAAGATTGAAGATATAATTAATTTTTGATGTTGATTGTAAACCTGCAAATGTTACTTGTAATGTAGGGTATAAGGAAATTTTTAATAATTTAACCAATGTTTGGCAGACATCTACCTCTTAAAATGCCATGCTCTATTTTATTTTTACTTTTTTTTGTTTATATTTCTTTCCTCCCCCTTTTTTTGGCCAACGTCTATATTTCTTCTTTATTCATATCTTTATATTATTTATCTATCACATTATCACCATATACCTTTCTCTTACATATAGTTTATTGATTATGTAGTTACTTTTTTTATTGTTTCATTGATAGGACTATTCAATGCATGTACCAACTGTTTTTATCTAAGATAGATTTACAAAAATAACCCGGGCCTTTGTGTGATAGACTAGTTCCTCCGAACGGATGAAACGTTCGCTTTCTCCATCGTCTCCTATCTCCACTTCATCCCCCTTTCGTATCAATCATGTAATATCCATCCAAATCACAGCGCGCTTTTCTGACTCGAGGCCTCGCCGCCGCATGAGTAATCTTTATCTCTTTCCTCATTCTCTGGATATAGCAGTTCTTCCTTGAATATTTTGTTGACCTTTATTTCTTCTTCTTGATTCACATATTCGCTTCATACCTCTATCGCTAGGTCCGTCTTCATTTTTTCAGCGGGGATTTTCTGATTAGGATCAGTCAACTTGTTTATCGAGGTCCTCCAGAATCTTATATCTGCTTGTGGTTTGCTTGCTTGCTTCTCGATTTCTCTTGGGTGCACAGGAAGTTGGGATCTGGGATTAAAGATTTTATTCCTTATTCTTGGAGTTTTCTTGTACTCTAATTCGTTTGATATAGAGAACTGGGGAAATTTCATGTACGAGTTTTGGAGTTGATCAAGTGAATTATTTTGTGATTCCTCTGTAAATAAGTCTCTTTTTTGTTGTCATGATTTGTCATAGATGCCAAGGATACCTAAATCGCCAAATTTGCTGTCTTGCACATTTTACTCTTTGGATAGCCAGAATGTCCGTGCATTTCATAAAATTCAGCACAACTTATTTCACATTATAATCCAGAACCTAGGATTCTTGTAATTATCTGTTTTCATCAGTTTCACTTAGAATTCAGTGTTCACTTGTGAGAACATACTGTTTGCTTCTTACTTTAGTTAAGGAATGGATATAAGTAACGAGGCCAACGTCAGCCCCTTTTCAATTGGACCTTCAAGTTTTGTTGGAAAAACAATTGCTTTTAGGATTCTTTTCTGCAAGTCTACCTCACATTTGAGGCATCAGATCTTTCGGCTAGTGCTGGGTCTCTTCTATAGATTCAGAGCGTGTATAAAACCCATTATATCATGGTTGCATCCAAGAAACCCTCAGGGGATATTGGCAATGATGACAATAGTTGCTTTCTCATTGAATCGGTACACAAATGTGAAAGCAAGGGCTGAGATGGCATATAGGAGGAAGTTTTGGAGAAACATGATGAGATCTGCATTGACATATGAGGAGTGGGCTCATGCAGCTAAGATGCTTGATAGAGAAACGCCAAAAATGAATGAATCAGACCTTTATGATGTAGAATTGGTGAGAAACAAACTTCAAGAGCTCCGTCACCGTCGTCGAGAGGGATCTCTTAGAGACATTATATTTTGTATGCGTGCTGATCTTGTTAGAAATCTAGGCAATATGTGTAACTCTGAGCTTCATAAAGGGAGGCTTCAAGTGCCCAAATTAATCAACGAGTATATTGATGAAGTATCTACGCAGTTGAGGATGGTATGTGATTCTGATTCAGAGGAGCTGTCATTGGAAGAGAAGCTAGCTCTCATGCATGAAACCAGACATGCGTTTGGGAGGACTGCTTTGCTGTTAAGTGGGGGTGCTTCTTTAGGAGCTTTTCATGTTGGTGTAGTGAAAACACTGGTGGAACATAAACTCTTGCCTAGAATAATTGCAGGTTCAAGTGTAGGTTCCATTATGTGTTCTATTGTTGCTACTCGGTCTTGGCCAGAGCTTCAAAGCTTTTTTAAGGATTCATGGCATTCATTGCAGTTTTTTGATGAAATGGGTGGAATTTTTGCTGTTGTTAAGAGGGTTATGACATATCGTGCTGTCCATGAGATCAGACAGTTGCAAATAATGTTGAGGCATTTGACAAGCAACCTTACATTTCAAGAAGCTTATGACATGACAGGTCGAATTCTTGGGATAACTGTTTGCTCTCCAAGAAAGCATGAACCTCCTAGGTGTCTCAACTATTTAACTTCACCTCATGTTGTTATATGGAGTGCAGTCACCGCTTCTTGTGCCTTTCCTGGCCTTTTTGAGGCTCAGGAATTGATGGCTAAGGATAGAAGCGGAGAGATTGTTCCTTACCACCCCCCATTTAATTTGGGCCCTGAGGAGGGATCCTCACCAGCACGTCGATGGAGAGACGGTAGTTTGGAGATTGATTTACCTATGATGCAGTTGAAAGAGCTGTTCAATGTCAATCATTTTATTGTCAGTCAGGCCAACCCTCATATTGCTCCATTGTTGAGATTGAAAGAATTTGTAAGAGCTTATGGAGGCAATTTTGCTGCCAAGGTAATGCAATTATAGACATGCTCCTTTATAACAAAAACACACAGTATACTCATATTCTTGTGTCTGTCTTTTGCCAGTGCATGCCATTATTTATTGCTTCTTATATGAGCTTGTTGCATTTCCATTGCCTGTATAATGTGATATCTGTTATTAAAAGGTTGGATTTCCCATGTGCTGTTGTTTTTCAACCCTTGCTTCATTCTGATCCATTTTAGGTATGGAGGTTCCTCAATTTGTGGCTAAGCTATGTGAATTGTTTATCTCCTTCCATTACCTTATATATGGTTTTGGTCTTATTGTTTTGTGGTTCTGGTTGTGTGTTTTGTGCATCTGTCCTTGTGTAATGTATATTTCCGAAATATAAGCACTATATAATTGTTACTTGTGGTACAAACGCTGTGTTGTTTCATGACCTCTCCTACACTCCCCCTTCTTTTCTCTACGGCAAAATTATGCCTGCAGATTATGGATGAGAGATTTTTCTCGTTAAAAAGGGAGGGTGATAGAAAATATGGCAAATATTACTTTAGGAGGAAATAATTTATTACTTCTTATTGCCTTTCATTAGTTTATTAGTTTTGTTATTTTTCATTTAACTTTTGTAAGTTTCCTTCTTGCGAAGGAAACCAAGCAGCAAGTGGATTCTTATTACTTTTCATTAGTTTATTAACTTTTGTAAGTTTCCTTCTTGTGAAGGAAACTAGGCAGCAAGTGGATGTTTCCTTGTTAGGAAGGAAACCTCATGCTTATAAATAGCATGACTTGTATTCAGGAAGGGAAAGGAATGTTTGAAGCATTATGATTTTCTGAAAGCTCCTTCTCTCTCTTCAGTTCTGCATCTCTCTTCTGTTCTCCCTCTCATATTTCAGTCACTTCTCTCTCTTTTCACCTTCTCTGTTCTCACTTCCCCTCCACCTCCCACTCTCTGTTTCTGTTTCTTCTCCCTTATTCTATTCTGTTCAAATCAGTGTGAGCGTGAGTGTTTGTGTTTTACATCAGAGGGAGGGTGGGAGAGGCTGTTACCATCTTCTTTAAACTAGCATACAATTCTAGCAGTGCATAAAAACTAATTACTCTGAGGAACTTGAATTATGATTCCTACATTGTGACATAATGAATGGCGGATGCACCTTGCAATCTTAATAAAAGCTACGAGTGGAGAATTTGTATGTTTAAGATGCTTTTTTTAAGCGCTTGATTGGGAATAATATTTTGTGTCTTTTTGTTGTCAGAGTTTATATCTAAGGTGGCCTGGTTTACAATTCTACATGTTTTCCAATCGATTCGAAATCTTTTCTAATATTGACATTTTTTTTTTGTGAACAATACTAACATGGGTTTTGATTCTGTAGCTTGCTCATCTTACGGAGATGGAGGTGAAGCATAGATGTAATCAAGTACTGGAATTTGGTTTTCCATTAGGTGGACTTGCCAAGTTGTTTGCTCAAGACTGGGAGGGTGATGTAACTGTTGTTATGCCTGCTACTCTTGCTCAGGTAAGTGCCCAGAGAAGATTTAATACTAGCAAGCCATTTATGCTAGGCGAAAGAAATTGTTTCGGCTATATATCATTGTTTCAGAAAAAATAAATAATGTCTAATGGTTAAGTTTCGACTAGGTCTCCACACTTGCTCTCTTGTCCTGAGCTCATGTTTCTCTTTACATATTTCTTCTTCTTCTTCCTCTTTTTTTTTTTTTACCTTCTTTCTTGACAATGTCTCGTTTATTAGGAAAAAGGTGATGCCTTAACAATACAAGTGTTACAGATTAAAGCAATTATCCATAGGCCTTCACTTAATATCTTGAACTTTTGAATTGATATGGCCTTTTAGCGTTGACATTAGATCATCTGTGATCAAATGGTCTTAAGTTTGATACTTATCACCCTTCATTCCTCGTAATCAAAATGAAATTTCAGAAGTTAGATGAGCTCAAGCTTTATCAAATTTTAAGCCCAAATGCCTTTTATGTACTGGGTGTATTGGGAATTATTATAAAAATTATTCATGTACCTTCGGCAATAGTTTAAACCTTTGAGTTGAAACTACAGTCGACAGTATTTGAGGAATCTTATGATGAATTGTTTCTTTCTTTGTCTTGCACCAGTACTTGAAAATTATCCAGAACCCATCCCACGTTGAGCTTCAAAAGGCAGCCAACCAGGGGAGAAGGAGCACTTGGGAGAAGCTTTCAGCCATAAAAGCAAACTGTGCAATTGAGATTGCTCTTGATGAATGTGTTGCCATGCTCAACCACATGAGAAGACTCAAAAGAACATCCGAGAGAGCATCTGCTACTTCTTCTCATGGTCTGGCCAATGCTGTCAAATTCAGTGCTTCAAGAAGAATCCCTTCATGGAATTGCATGGCACGAGAGAATTCTGCAAGTTCCCTTGAAGATTTTTCTACAGATCCCTCATTGCATCAAGGCTCTACTAAGAACTGGATGACCCACCGTAGCATCCATGATCATGGAAGTGACAGTGAATCTGAAAATGTTGATCAGAACTCTTGGACACGTTCTGGTGGGCCTTTGATGAGAACTGCTTCGGCAAATAAGTTTGTAGACTTCGTTCAGAGCCTAGATTTCGATGCTGAGCTAAATAGAGGTGTTGTGGCTCACTCCAATCGGCAAGTGGTTCAGTCCAATCAGAGCTCGAGGGTCTCAACACCTGACAGCATAATGGTGAATGAAGGTGATCTTTTGCAGCCTGAGAGGATCCATAATGGGATTGTGTTTAATGTTGTCAAGAAAGAAGACTTTACGCAACCTAGGACCCATGACCTTGAGCATCACAGCCACGAGGTTGCTGAATGTGTTGTTCAAAGTGACAGTCCAGGGAAGGAGATGGATGCTAGCTCTGCTTCTGATTGTGGAGATAATGATTCTACAACAGCCGATTCCTTAATAACTGATCATTGTTCCGCTGATGTGGGTAAGGATCAGAGCTGTTGATTATGAAATTTCTTCTTTTTCCAGATGACTTTTAAAAATTTTTTAAGTTTTTTTTTTACAATGTAAATACCACCACGTCTATCCTATTCTGCCTGTACATACTCTTGTGCATATCTGTATCTGTGTATCTGGATGCATGCGTCTATTTGTGTTTGTACTTTGTCCGGTGTTTTCAAGATGTATATACGCACACAATAATTACTGTGGTTAGCCTCTCCTTTAAAAAATTATTTTTGAAGGGCGAGGGCTTGGGAAGGTTAATTGAAAGAATTGAATTTCCTTTTACTTGGAAAATTAACTTCGCGATGGAAGAAAGTATTCCATCTTTATCTTTCCTTTTCCTACAGTTTTTCTCTTCCAAACAAACATGGCTGGTGACAAAGGTTGGGGGGGGGGGGAACCCTTGGAATAGACGGTTTTGGGAATATTTGGATGTACGATCAATAATAATTTGCCTAGGTATATGTTGGGCGTTTCTAATCCATTTTTGACAAAATGATCATCTCATGATCTATAGTGTGATTGAAGGAATCTTTTTGTTGGCATGTTTGGTCTCTAACCTTTTCTTATTTCCTGTTTGGTATGTTGGGAATGATTTTGATAAAAATAAAAACTGATATAAAAGTGGAGATGGATATGTAAATAGATGTGTATATAAGATTTAAAAATATGTTTGGCATATTTATAGAATTGAAATATGATTTGTTTTTTAATTTGAATGTTTAAAACATGAAAACACTAAAATGCCCTCATTTCCAAAAGAAAAAAAATCGCTCAAACCCAAATCATTAAAAAAAAAAAATCTTTCAACATCTCAATATTCTCCTTTTTTCAACACCTCCAATCTTCACACCATATTTGTTCTGTGAGATTGCATATTTTTCCAAATCTCAAAGCGCTACGCTTCAGCAACTTTGTGGTCTTTTGAATAGCAAATGAACAAATGGCTCGAAAGTGCCTGTTCGACAATCAAGAAGAACACATGGGATTCCATGAATACCTCAGAAACAATTTACCTAGAGCAATTTCAATTGTAAAACTTTATAGCTAACAGCTCGACAAGTGGGTTTCATGAATTTTAACTAGAAGCTCAAGAAGGGAGAAGAGATAAGTTGCTGTCAAGGTGAAGCCGAGAAATCATGGAGGTTGCTAAATGTTGTTGGTTGCAGATTTTGAAGAATGGTACTGGACTTTACCTCCTTCCATAGCATCTTTGGACCCTTGCCGTCACCATCATGGGGGAAGTGCTTGCTGCCATCACTATTGTTGGGGGTGGGGTTCATTGCCATTGTTGCCATCAAGGGTGGTGCTCGCTACCATTGACGTGGTACTTGTCCTCAGGGATAGGGGAAGGGTACGATGTGGGTCGAAGACGAAGGAAGGGGCACAGTGGAAGGATGAAATGATGGTTAGAAAACTGAGATTTTATCATAGAAAATTGGTGAAATTGGAATTGAAAATTTTTTAAATTTCATCTTACCAAACATATACTTTTCTCAATTCCATTCCATTTCTATGTCCATATTCACCCTTTTCGCTTCCATCATACCCAACAGGATCTTAGATGTAAGCTTTCAAACACTTTTTGAGGAAATTTCCCCCATCTTTTTTTTTTAATCAACAATTTCCCCTTCCTTTTGTTCCTCTATTCAAGCTGCAATCTCATGAGTACACAAGGCATATTATATTCCCTCCATCTCATTTTATAATACATATTTTTAGAAGATTTGATGTCTCTGGATATAAGACATTTTGCAAAAGAATAAGGTTTTGTAATGATAATTATTTTAATATTATTTATTATTTTATTTTTTAAATAAATTTTCTTCTCCCTCTTTCATTAATGAATGATATTTTTCTTGCCAAAAAATGAATAATATTTTTTGAAAGTTTATATGAAAAATTAACATTGTAAACGGCAATTAATGAATTTGGCATGTATAATTTTGCTCAAAAAATACTACATAAATTGGGATGTAGGAAGTATTATGAAATAAATCATCCAAAATATATAATCTCTAATAAACATACTCCTTCCGTTAAAAAATATAAGGTATTTTTTGAAGAGTTGGGTGTTCAAAAATATAAAGCATTTTTAATTTTTTGAAGTTTAATTATTTTTTTTTAAAAGTGCCCCTATCAATAAATGACTTTATATTTATTGTAAAGTGTTTAATAAGAATGAATATGAAAAGATAGAGTTAGTTTAAAAATAGGCAACTACTTTACTGAAAAGTAAGATTTAATTAAAAATATCTTATCTTTTTAATGGAGGGAATATATTGTACTAATATTTTCTCCCTCATCAACATTAATGAAGGATGAAAAGAAAAAACTGTAATAAAAAATCAATGACATACCTTATTAATTAGGGAAAAAAACATTTTCTCCTTCTATTCTAAATATGAATGGATCGAGTATATGAATAAAAAAAAAAGCCATCTTCAAACCTTTTTTGATTAAATGCAAAAAATATGTTAAAATATAAAAAATATTATAATTTTTAAAGAATATGTTTTAAAGTGAAAAATATCTAAGCATGTGTTTGGTTTTTCATTGATTAAAAGTAAATTAAGTTATTGAGCAAATAGAACCCTAAACTAATGCTCGAAAATCACGTTAGACCATGAACTCTTAAAACATGTAAAATAAACTTTGACCGTTAACTTTTTTAATATCATTATTGTGCATGCAGGTAGTGTAATAATCAAGGTTAAATTTGTAAGAAAATAAACCTTGGACAATACCTGCATAGATGGTAATAGTGTTAAAAAGTAAAGGTCAGAATTTATTTTGATATGAATTTAAAAGTTTAGAATTTATTTTGTGTATTTTAAAAGTTTGATATTTAGGACAATTTTCGAGTAAAAATTTAGGGTTCTATTTACTTATTAACCCAAATAAATTTATTAAAAGTTTATTTTATAAAAATTTATTTAATGAAAATTATTTTATTAAATTAAAAGTCGTTTGAATTGTACATGGTAAAATATACTTTTAAATATATAATTTTAAAAAGGATATTAATTTATAATAATTTATAAGTTTTACTATACAAATGTAATGTGTTTAAAATGTTTAAAAAATATGATAAAAATTTCAAGTAACATAAAATTTGATATGTTAAATAATAAAAATAAAAATATAAAGCTTAATGTATTGAAAAAAATTATATAATAAATAATTTAACATATATACATATTAAAAATTATGATTAATCATTTGATCTATAATATATAAATTAATTTTTAATTAAATTCGGAACTCTATTAAAATACGATAGAAATTACTAAACAAATAAACATGACTCGATAAAAGGCATGGAAATTTGAAGCATGGAATAGGAAATACCTAAATGAAAGAATTTTTATATCCACTATTAAAATAAAACAAACCATGCAATAAATAAGGTGGGAGGGTAATCACACACAGGAAAGTCAAAAGCCGAAACTCAACCTAAGACATCCAAGGAAATGTAAGGGTAATATGGTAAATTTAAAACCTAACAATAGAAAATCAATTTGAAAAGCTCCAATGACGTTAGCGTGTGTTTCCAAATCCACTTCCCATAATTACCTTAATTGTGCATTCAAAAAATCATTTTGTCTGATTATAAATTTTCAAATAACATCTTACATCTTAAAATGCAAAAGTACATCCGAGAACCGTAGTCGATGTGGAAAAAGAAAAACTTGCCAAGTCTCCTGAACTAAGAACATGGATTTCTGAAAATTCCCTTGAATGCAGAATTTCCTGAGAAATAAATTCATGACCAGTGGATAGCATAAGCTTACTAATTTATTAGAATTATTGTATTCCTTCCATCTCAATTGATAAGACAATATTTTTATAAAAATTACACACACCAATAAAATTATTAAATATAATTTACTATAATTTTAATTTTTTATAAATATTTAAAAATACCATTCATTAATAACAAGAGAAAAAGAAATTTATTTAAGGAATAGAACAATGAAGCATGATATTAAATAATAATTATTAATAAAATCATATTTTTATTGAAATATTTTATATTTTAAAATATCAAATCATTTTAAAAATATTTTATAAATTAGGGAAGCATTATTATCATATACAAATGCATGAAGGATCCACATTATTTGATGTACTCTATAATTTATAATCTAGGGTTTAGGATAAGTTAAGAGTAGCTACATTTTTATGTGGTAGACTATAGCGGTTCACAGGCCAAGAAGCATGAAAATATTGACACTTGGGGAGAAAGGGGAGAGAAGGACCACTCGTATTGATGTGGACTGAAAAGAATAGTGGTAGCCAGCTAGATATAAGGCCACTCTAGGCTTCTGCGAAATTAATTTGCAATTTTCCGATGTGATATTTGAAGTCCCACATTCATGATGAATGAGAAATAATTTTAAATAAAAATTAAATTAATAAATATAATAGGTAAAATTGGGGGGAAACGACTTTTGCATATACTAAATTATTTATATTTTACATTAAAATTAACTGAAAAAAATATTTAGTTTTAAATTTGAGAGAGTAAATTAATAGAGGTTAGGTATAGTATAAAGAGGTAGTTCCATGCAACATAAAAAACTAACATTTACTTTCTTTATTTAAAAATATAAAATATTTTAATTAAATTTTATTCTCAATAATTAGATATCTATTTTTAAACTAGCTTTATTTTTTTATATTTATTTTTATTAAATACTTTATAATAAATATAAATTTATTATTAAAATAAATATTTTTAAAAAAGTAATAATTATATTTTAAGAGATTAAAAATATTTAAATTTTTAAATTTTTAAAAAATATTTTATATTTTTTAATAAAAAGAATAAATTTTTATTAAAAGAAATGTTTATGTTTAGTGATGATGGTATCTCAACCATGATGCATTGTCTATGATGAAAGGATATTTATAAATAATAAAAAAGAAAATAATATTGAGATTGAGAAGAATAATTATGATGATCGTGGCTGAAACTGTGCAACGTGCTGCATGGGTCGAACTCGGATCTCAAGACACGAATTTATGCGAATATTAACAACATCCTCAGCTAAATAGAATCTTTAAAGCTGAAATTGCATTGAGAGTTGTGATTTCGGTTGTTTCAGGACATCTCTTCCACGGTCAAACTTTTACCACGTAACAACGTATTCCCCGTTTTGCACAACGGCACGTGTAATTTGGTGCTACAAGTTGACGCGCCTATA